CATGGAACGTAATAAGTATTTATTATAACTAGCCACATTCATGACAACTCATACAATGACCAGTGTAACAGCTGGTAAGCCGATTGGTCTCTGTAGCCTGTGCAAGCTAACTTAGGCCTGATTCGAGTGGCATTATTAATGACTACCAAGGCGCTAATGTGTGACCCCACTCAAGACAATACTTTTGCATCGGCATTTGCATGGTATTTGTTATGGTTATGAGCTTGACCGAAGATGGAGATTGTAGCAGAATCAGTGTTGGCAGTTAGACCAATACAGTAAGTCTCGTATGAGGTTGTGAGAGGAAGATTTGAGTGGAAACAATTGTATTTAGATGTACGGCTCTGAGTAAAGCCAAGATGGTAAGAGTGAGATTGCGTGTTTGCATATCTTATCACCTGTGGTTTTTGACCAGTATTTATCAATCTCCATGGATCGTGAGTTATGATCCCTGTAGATGTAGATAAACAGTCTCTTAAGGGTATCAAAAGTACAATTGTCAAAATGAATGGGGTAAGATCCCTGTATATATTGCCTTAATTGGTATGGTCTTCATACAGGGCTATGTCTAGTTACTAGGCTAGTCATGTAAGCAAGGCGTACTATCCAATGACATTCCATGTAGTCTAAATTGTGGAGATGGTTTTCAACTCTGAAAGAAATGTACAATGGTCCTCATTTAAATTTTAAAGTTCAAAAAAAATCAGCTGATATTAACTAAAAATACACATCTATTTCAAAAATAATTGCAATGTATTACAATAGTATACATCGAAGCCCTCAGTATGGCTTGCAAGTAAAATCAAAGCGTACTTTATGTTTTGTATTAGCCTGCTCCATCCTAATACTTCGTGTACCCTCAATTTGTGTGGCAGAAACTAAGTTGGTAATGAATAAATCGATTTATTTTACTAGATGAGGAGAAAAGAGAACTCTAGTTACTTCCAACAGGTATTTATAACAGATGATCCTCCTCGTAAATCAACAGGCTAGTGGCTTGTCCTTAGGTACAATACTTCTTACTCAGCTGCTTATTTCCAGGTGTCACTAAGTTGCAATAATGTTCATGTCACAGACCGGCTTTCCCACGAGGAAAACAGCCTGCTTGTTACTACCATTGTGCCATAGGCTAATGCTGAGATGCTGCGTTTAGTCTGGTCAACCAAGTCAGGAACTTGTCAAGGGATAGAGTGAATTGAGGGAAGTTACTGTCACGTGATATAACGCGTCTGATATGCGATTCACAATGTAGATATTTTTATAGGACTCAATAAGAGGACCCTTTCCTCTTTGTAGACAATCTCAATCACCAGAATAGACCTCGTCAATCTACTTCATGACCTTCCCCTGACATATTTTCTACCAAATCACCTTTAATTACGTCCCTCGCGCGTAATTCCTATATCCATACTGACAAATTGATTCAAATTCAAATAGTACCAAAAGTATAATTCGTACTAAATTTTCTGCATACCTATCACAGAGATGCACCCAAAGTAAAATATATGAAACCAATAATAGAATGGATAGAAGTTCTCGATATCATGACCTACCTAACAACGACCACACCCTTCAATTCAACGACGAGAATATAGACTTCGTTCACATGTACCCTCTCCTCAACTCCATCCTAAACCAAGAATCTTTACTCAATGCCATGCAGGGACGTAACGCTGTAGTTAGTCCTATTTTACTCAGTAATGAAATTGTTTCCCTAGCAAGCTCATTCAGAAAATTGGAAAATGAACTCCGCCATTATAAGAATGACTATGACACATTGCCTAAAAAGAATTGTGAATTCTCTTATGTAGTCTCTGATATAAAGACAAAAGCAGCTACTACTAAGAGAAATACTTCCACACATTATATCTACCGGTCTACGAGACACCCTGACCCAGATGTCTTCTCTGCGGATAACATTGATATGCACAAAGAACTTCCTCAATTTATCCGGAAAATAAATATGAAGTTTATTGCAAACAAGGACTGGTACCTGTCTGAAAATACTAAGATACTTTATCTAATATCTCGCCTCAAGGGAAGAGCATTCTGTTGTAAAGGTAAGAGCTTTCGGAGGTTAATTGGCAGAAGGTTTACGGGTGATTATCGATGAATCAATATGAACTGCTGATATTCTTGATATTCAGAACTATGAGGAGTTAGGAGGTTTAAAGCGCTAATTATATACACATCTGAGGTAGCTAGACTCTCGCCTCATTTACCCAAAATAGTATGACGGAATATTCTAGTCTCCTCCATCTGGTAGTACAATCTAGAAACACTTTCTATACAGTGCTCCATTGTTCCTCTACTCATCATGGAGCCACCTGGAAAGTTCTTCCTTCACCCTCGGTGATCATTACCCTCGTGCATCGTAATCCTAGCCATCACCAGCACAACACATACTCCACCATTTCTCATGGTATAAACAGGAATGGTTCTGTCAAATACAAATCTGTTGATGCTATTTTTTTCCTCCTTGAACAAACATTTGGGGAGATTGAATCATGTAATGCAGCTCGTAGGAAAATACTTACCATTAAACAAGGACAGAAAGAATCACGAGAAGAGGAAGTGGCAGGAAGGCAGCTCTAATGTAGAGATGCAAGAAGTAGATTGGCTATTAGGAGAGAGTATCTAGAGGCGGACAGGGACTATATGCTAACGTGCACGTACCACAAGTACTCACGCTATTGTACCTAGGGCCAGGTTGAGGCGAGGCTGTAACTATCCCCCTTCTTTCTTAGCATCGTCCTCGATGCTTCATATACTTAATCTCTTGTGATACATCCTAAACAAGAGAGTGTACCTCATTTTTATCTTTACTTCCCCCCCTTTATTTTATTCCAATTTTCCACTAGCTTTATTTGTTCGCATCCAAGAATCTTGATCAATTGCCTTCTTGTCATCCATCTTGTTATTGTAGGCCTTATTGGGTTACACACGGAATATTGTAGCTCTTTGTTACCATAAGGACGGTCAGCAAGGATTGCGTAAGTCGATTTGCGGGTAAATTGGACTTTTGGGCGACCTCGACGCTGTGTATGATCCTCGTTTTCCGGTAAATCTAAATCTTCCCAAACACGCTCATCTTCAGGTATGTAGTCAGTGGGTTGTGGTGAGTTCGGGTTTAAGATGTGGAAGTCATCAATGATCTTGTTGTCTGAGTGTGCAAAACCAACAAATGTTTTTGGCACCCATATTCTATGACCTGTTTCTGCAAACTCCACTTGATAGTGTGCTTGGCGTCCCCCTTGAGTAGTCCGACAAGCAAGGATCTTGTAAGGGGTTTCGCAGTTTTTGATTGGGGACATAACTTTTTCGTGCGAAACGCGAGGTTGATCTCTAGTTACTTGGCATTGAGCCACATCTGCAGTGTGATATTTTTCGAGATTTGATACGTGGTATACTGGATGCAAGATATTGAAGCTTGGGGGTATATCTACGCGGTAGGTGAGTGGATCATCAATTTCTTTTATATTGAAGGGGCCTATCCATCGAGGTAACAACTTTCGTGATTTATTCCCTTCAACAGGTAGATAGCGCGTACGTAGCATTACCTGATCGCCGATAGAGAATTCCATTTCGTCGTGCCTTTTATCATAGTATTTCGCCATGCTTAAGCGCGTTTTTTGAAGTTGTTCCTTGCATTTATCGAGAATATAATTTTGTTTTGCAGCCCAGATTTCACCATCATTATCTACATCTGCGTTGTTTCTAGGAGATTCGGGGTGCGATTGGCACCTTGGGTGGTAACCATAATTAGCAAAGAAAGGAGTGATACCGGTTGCAGACGTTTTCGAGTCATTGTAAGCAAATTTGCATGTGTCCAACCATTTGTCCCAGTCTGTTTGGGAATCATTACTGTAGGCACGGAGCAATGCTTCAATTATTGTATTGACACGCTCTGCTTGACCATTCGCAGTGGAGTGGTATGCCGTTGTTGGTTGTTGAATTACGCCTAGCTTTGCTGTTATATTCTTCCAGAGGTTGTTTAGAAATCTGGTATCTCTGTCAGATACTATGGTGCCTGGGATTCCATGTAGTCAAATGCATTCGCAGCGAAACAGGTCTGCAGCTACCTTCGCATTGATGGACTGATTTCCCTTCAGTTTGACTGGAATGAAATGGGCCATCTTGGTGAGTGTGTCAATGATAACCAAAATAGCATTATTTCCTCGTTCGGTAGCGGGAAGGTCAGTGATGAAATCTATATGAATTCTCGTCCACCGCCCTTCCGGAATAGGGAGCGGAGAGAGTTTCCGGTAGGTTGCGTGGTGAGGATCCTTATTCTCGTTACAATTACGACATCCGCGGACATATCTCTTGATATCGCTCTTCATATAGGGCCAGTACCAGTTGCGGGAACATTTTTCGTAAGTACGGGCTTGTCCTTGGTGACCTGCAAGAGGAGCGTCATGGCAGAGTTCGAGGATGCGATTTCGTAATGATGGAGGTACATAGACTCGTTCCTCTGCGTAAATTAGAATATCATTGTTCCATTTGAGATCAGATTCTTCGTCCAGAGGGTTGATTTCTACGGCGTAGTCATCGGTGGCTGTTGCAGTGACAAGGGCATTGTAGATATCTGGGGGAGCCTGTGACATTGCGGCAAGGCAAACAAACTCATGGACTTGGGGAACATCATCTATGGTGAGTTTGTAGTCTTCCTGTCGTGATGGAAGATCTGCCGGATTATTTTTCCCTGGCATATGTTTTACTACATAGTCAAAATCACGAGAAGAGGAAGTGGCAGGAAGGCAGCTCTAATGTAGAGATGAAAGAGGTAGATTGGCTATGAGGAGAGAGTATCTAGAGGCGGACAGGGACTATATGCTAACGTGCACGTACCACAAGTACTCACGCTATTGTACCTAGGGCCAGGTTGAGGCGAGGCCGTAACTTATAATGTCATCAACTATTACCAATCACAAAAACCATCAAATTTCTTTTCTCCAGCATTGCTCCGAGAGCTGTAATAGTTTAAGCACTTTTTTGAGCTATTGGGGCCAAGGAATCGGGCTTTCCCAGATTAACGCCCCCGTGCCTGTTGTAGTAACCCAGAGATTAAGATCTCCGTTCTTGTCTTTAGTAACATAATTATATTCATCTATGGGTAATTCAGCAATCATATTGCCCAGAACTAGGATAGACTTCTTACTACTCTTGCTCCACTCATCATTAATTGGAATGGGTATTAGGAATTCATAGCCTAATTTTTTGGCACGTTTTTGAACTGCATCATTTGGAGATTTCCATCCAACTCCACTGTTCTTTATTCTGGTGACAGCAGCTCTGATGTCGTCCATTGCGCCTGGAAGCTTCAATGAACTAGACGACGACCTTGGGACCAGCAATGCAGCAGAAATCGATGTTGCTTGACATAGTAGCACAATAATTCCGGTAAGATTTTGGAACTTCATGTTGATCTAGCAAAGATTTATTTTAGCACTAGATTTATGTTTTACCTGAAAACTCACTTTTATTTCTGTATGCTCGTTCTATTTTACGTGAAGAAGTGGAATGGAAATAAACTCAGTGAAGTTGAAATTCGAATGAAGCTGGTTTCTGGAGACTGGAATGTGTTGGAGTGGAAGAGAAGATAGTTTACACATGCAAAATTAGTATCTTATTGCAATTTGGAATGATATGGCTGTTACTAATACAATAATGATTGCTTGTGGGCTTGATACAATATCCGAGAGCTAATTTGACTCATGGTAATTTGTAATCCACATATATCATTCCTTTCATGGTATTTTTCCGTAAAAAAAAGTCCTGTGGGAAGGTGAGCAAAATGAGATGAACGTAACAGCATGAGTTGTGAACCTATATTATGTAATTTAAATGTTGAATCCTTGCAGATTGGATAAAGATTCTGTAGACACAGATGATGAATAGTCACAGATTATTAATTTATGGCTATTAAGTATATATCATATCACTAATTTTGTAACTTTTCGAAGTATTGGCTTGGTTGCTGTCAGAAAAAGTAGATACATAGTAGGACAGAAACATGGATGAGAACAAGGTATTCGGATTAGGGATTGCTAGCTCAAATTACACGTAAAATAGGAACATGGCTAATGGGATTGGTGGCAGAATTTTGGACATATAGACCCTCCATTTATCAAGATTCTCATCACGATTCTGCGTGTATCAAATGGGTTTGAATTAGTGATATGATAGTCCTCCTGCCTATCAAGTAGATTAATATTGGTCTATTACAACAAAAGATAAGCCGACTACTTACTGCTGTTCATGCTAGCCAATATATGTAAGGAAATGTTTAAACTATCCTTTGCAGCTACTGATGGTGACATGAAATAAGATGATGATTTTGTTGTGATATTGCTCGTCAATGACCGGCTCTGCACCGACAGGTGCATATGCACGTGGTGCGTTGACCATGGATACAACTGCTGCCGCTCCTGAGTCTCGGACTTGGGGGCACCGGGTTGAGTCATTGCAGGGCAACAATTGGGGTAGCGTTGTGGAGAGTCTACTGACCACGTGCGCTAGCCATAAGCGGTTAGATATTGCCGGAGAATTACAGGATAGCGCCCAGAGGTATATGCAGACCTCGCGCGCTACCGAAACCATACAAACGCTTCCGCTCCTGAGTAATGGAGTAAGGACTGCGGAGCTGAGACATTGTATGGGAACGATTGGAGCAACGCTGTGGTGTGTTACAAACCACAGGCGCGAACCATGGACTGGATTGCTGTCGTTCTGTTGTGCTGGCTCTGTTGAGTTGTTAGGAGACAGGGGAACGGAGGATGGGCTGCTGGATTAGGAAAGGGTGGAAAATACAGGCTGTTGCACAGACGCTGTTCATGTACTCGACAATCTCTTCACCTGCCGAGTTTAGTGAATCAATCTATTCAAAATAATATGATACTTCACACCATCCATTAGATGATATTATCAATTGTCAGGATGCACATCTAGTATCACCTTCATAGATCACCATTGTCAGTTAGAGTTCACATTTGATACCTACTGACACCCATTTGGCCACAGTGATACCCACTAAGTGTCCATCGTGCCATCACCCAGCGTGAGCGCGCCATCTCCGCGACTCACCATTGCACATGAGCCCGTGTAACTCCATCGACGGACAGCAGAGACATAGTTACTATGTACCTCACAGCTCATAGCCACAACACGTTCCTGAACAGCTAGGTTCAGGATTGCTCAGCTGGGATACTACATGTAAGTGATTGAGGCACTGCAGCGACGCGTACTCGGACCATGCACGCCAGCCACCGGAACAGCGGAAGCCTCTCATGAGAGATAGACTCATGAGCTGCAGAGTTTTACCGAGGCACGCTGTTGGCAGTAAGTCAGGAGAGAGAGCGTAGACAATGACTGTTGTAATTAAGGCAGCAACATAACTGCAGTAGACAAATAGTACATATTAGAATAATATGCACTGGCGCCATAAGATATGATTAACCCATATCATCACTCACTGGCATGAATAGTAGTTAGCCAATAGATGCTTGACAGCATACATTGGCTTCAGGATCTCCAACAACCTTCCTGTTTAGGTCAGATTAGGAAGTGTGTTGGAGTTCACACTAGTGTACGGAAAACCCCGCTTTCATGTACATAGAGGGACTTCTTGTCACACATATAGAATTATAGCAATTTAATCACAATTAACTATCCATTAAACATCAGTAAACTTCTTTGAATAGTAAACACATTTATCGTATCTCTTAATCAAACTCGAGGCTAGTGTGTAATTCTTCCACTCTCCGGAGCTTATTTCAATTAAGATATGGGTCATATTAGAGTATATAAGTAGTCTGTGTTCTGTCTCATGAACAGTATCAGAAAAGTATCGGACACCTACCAACAATCACATTACCAAGTATCAAACCATCTGAACAAACATTGTGACACATTCTAAGTAACTATGTTCCCATTTAACTCATAACCTTTACACAGATTCATGTGCAGTAGACTTTTAGCAAGGCAGGCTATATTTAGTCAGTCAGGAGTTAGAGCGTAGACTATGACATAGGTCACACTCGGATACAAAGCTAGCCTATGTTCTATCTCATCATCAGTATTGCAACAAACCCAATTAACCTCATCTCACACAATTAGCTTCAGATTTAACAAGTTACAATAAAGATGTTCCTGTATAATGTCAGAGGCGGCATGTAGACAGCGGAGCAGAGACAAGGATTGTGACAAAGATCAACACAAGAATTTCAGGCAAGAGGTTGCTGTCCTACATTATGCATGAGATAGGTGCATAACCACTTGTCCAAAAGGCCAGACCAGAATCATAGAACACTAGGTTCTGGTTATCTCCACATATATAGATTATACAGTAGGCATTCCTGACATATAACTCATAATCTTGACAAGCCATGCTTACTTTAGGTCTCGTTATTGTTAACTATGAGCACTGGACAGTGGTCCGGAGTGGACTTCGAGACACTTTATAATGGGTATCACAGGTAATCTTAATGAGATGTCTCAAGAATGGATTTTATGTTCAAGAGTCTGAAGATGAAGATACACTATGGTGAATTTGAGTAATTGTTGGTGGTGCTCGACCATTTATCTCTCTACATGCCGGGCTTTACCAACATTGGCCACTATTTGTGCACATTTAATCCTATTGGAATTTGTGACTCTAAAATTTAGGACTCAACCACTACCTGTGTTGTCTCAGGTTCCCAACAAGATCGACTCTCTCTACACAAATCACGCATCCGCTAATCGCACCTACTGTTGCATATACGTTTGGATATTTACGTACTACTGTGTATCTTGGCTCATCATGGTAAATGAGAGGTGGCTGGTCATCACTAGGTTTGACAGGCACATAATACTAGTGGGAATTTCTCCCTTAGATGTATATATAAGACCAATGTTCTCATAGTTGTAAAATATCAAGTCTTCTTTACTTTATCATATATATCCACATAATATTGTACAGAGTATATATCCCAACAGTCAGGAACTGAGGATAAAGGTGACTGGGATACAATGGTTGCCATGGGTCACGAATTGAGTAATCAAGTAGTAGAAGGCGGACTCTATGAGACCTAGATTGCTCTGGTTACTAGGATTTATACATGGATTGGACAGTGCTGCTGTTGAGGGCCACGTCTTGTCTTCCGTCTTCCACTAGCCTTTTCACTGATCCTATATTCCCTCGACCTTAGTTTTAGTTACAATTATGCATTTATACCTTTGACTCTTGCCAATCTCCTCATATATCACCCAAGTCACTAAGTAACCCTCCCAAAGCCACCTTTGTGTTAGGATTATTGAGAGAGTGGAGTCACAGTGGCGAGAATAGATAGAGGGTAAGATAAGGTATGTGGAGAGTATGTATAGTAGTGCAGTAAGATATATGAAAAATGTGTGTGTGCTAAATACAGAGGGTGAGGGGGTTTAACTGAATCACCCAGCTGACTAAGCATCATTTTCCAACACGCCCCCATTCTGCAATACTAAAGAGCCTCGTTAACTCCCACAACACTGGAATGTGTGACTCCTACATCTCTGCTCGAAGAGTTCAGTAGTCCTGCAGAAAATGAAACTGCATTGTGGTACAAGAGTACTCCTTTCCCTCGATCATCATGGCATGCTATCTTAATGCCCCAAGTATCAATATCTGCTTAAGATAGGGCGTTAATTATTCAATTAGATAAACCTAATTTGAAGGAAAATTTTGTAAACTGATCTCTTGGTAACTGTTTTGTTAAAATATCTGCAATCTGTTCAGTTCCTGGCGTAAATACAACAGTTAGTCTCTTCTTCATCACCATGTCATCTCGTATGTAGAAGTGCCTTATTTCGATATGTTTAGCTCTTCTGTGAAATTTGGTGGTTTTGGCGAGCTCTATTGCAGCCTCGTTGTCTAAATGTAGCAATGGGGGATTCATTACTCTAATATTTATATCATGTGCAATTTTCTCCATCCAAGCAATTTCTTTTGCGCCTTCACTAGCGGACATGATCTTTGCTTCCATTTAGCTCTGCGCTGTGATTTTCTGTTGGTTAGCGGACCATGTTATGGCGCTCCCATTCCAAATAATGGTCTGTTCTTGGAAAGATTTCTTGTTGTTTTCTGTCCCCCATGTTGCATCTATCCATGCTTCCCAAATCTTTGTTGAATCGGTAAATCTGTACTTAATCCAGAGCGACCTTGTGCCATTTAGGTATCTGAGTAGATGTTTTGCTATACTTAGGTGGTTGGAATTGGGGTCAGACATAAATTGCGCAAGTTGTCCCACTGCATACAATATATCTGGTCTTGTACCATTAGAAATATAGAGGACAGATCCAACTATTTGTCGATAGAGGAAAGCGTTGTCATTTCCAAGTTTATGATAGCCATCATTTTCAATAGTTGGCTTTAGCACTGTTCCTGATGGAAATGGGAGATTTT